CCGTTGCCCATGTCGGCCGCGCTGCTGATGAGGCCTCTGGCGCGCTCTAGCGGCCGCCTCGCCAAGCTCCGCAGGGTTGGTCCCGGCGACGGCCACGGCTTCGGCCACGGCCACGGCGACCTGAAACACCACAGAAGGTTGGCATCATCAGCACTGTCGGTCGACGGTTCGAGTCCTGGACTGTTTGTTTCCTTTCAGCAGGCCCTGGCCTTTCCTGTCAGGTCCTTCCCCGCCAGTCGACGCCACACTGCACTTGCGCGTCGCGGCGCCTCGTCACCCACCTCTCCTCCTCGCCTTCGGCCATGGTGGTGGCCGGTCATGTCCTCACGGGGCGACGACGTCGAGGTGCTGCGGGAGTTGGAGCACGTGAATGCAGCGAACGCCTGCCCCGGCGGCCCGCGGCCGGCCGGTCGGGACCAGGCACTACTCGGCCGGGCCTCGCGCCGCTCGCGCCACGCGACGACAGGGGCCCTGTCCTGGCCCTGTCGCAGGGCGCCCCCATCGGCACTGCGGCACTGTGAGGGTAGCGAGGGCCGCCGCGAGACGCGACCCTCTGCCACCCTGGCCTGCCCTGGCCGAAGCAAGCCCGACCTGTCGCCCCTTCGGCCCCTTCCCGCACCCCCTGAGGGTCCCCCTCGCTTTCACCCTCCGAGCGACACCCCGTCGACGCCCCACGCTATCTTTATCCTGGCGTGGCGTGCCTGGGCATGGCCGTGGCCGCCGTGGCCGCCGTGGCCGCGACTAGGCAGGGCCGTGGCCGCGCGCATGTGTGTCCGCCGGGATTACTGTGGCCGCGAGCGGCAGCCACGCCGTGCACGGCGAGGACGCGGACGGGCTAATCCGCGGCACCGCGGCACCGCGGCCTGTCTCCACGTGGGGCTTCGGCCTCGCCAGAGAGAAAGAGAGCAAGCGCGGCCTTGGTCTTGACGGTCTTGACGGTCTTGACAGCGCCGCGACCCTGGCGCCGAGGCCGCCCCACTCCGAGACGAGCCGCCCCCGCGCGCCGCCCCGTTCCGTTCCGTTCCGGTTGAAGAAATACGGTGCCCGGTATTTGAACCCGGCCAGTGGCCAGTGGCGTGCGAGTAACGCTACCCCGGCGGAGCCGCGGAGCCGCGGCCAGCCCCCCACCCTCGTCGTCCTGGCCGGCCCGGCCCTGCCCTGCCTGGCCCTGCCCGAAACGTGCTGCTGCCCCGTCGCCTCACAGTTCACTGGCCACCCCGTGCCCCCCGCTTCTCTCCCTTCCCCTGCGCCCTGCGGCCCGGGATTTATATTCGAAATAAACCTGCGCGGATGGCCCTGCAGGCCCTGCAGGCCGTGATCGATGTCATTGGGTCGTTGGGACGGGTACCCGGGTAGCGCCCTACCGCTGTGCTGTCGCACTGCTGGCGGCCCCGCGGCCACCTTGTGCCGCTTCCCAGAAGTGTGGCAGTGTTTGCCGTCTTGCCGGGGGCCGCCCGCCTGCAGCAGACTGATTCCGAGAGTCGTTTTCGTCGCGCCGTCTCTCTCGCACTCATGGGCCTTCTCGCACAGGTGCGAGAGAGACAGCGACTCTCGGAGTCATTCTGCAGCAGCGACACGAGCGGCCCCCCAAAAATACCGAGTGCATTAAAACAAGAAGTTGGCGTGTGTGCGCGGTAATTTAGGCGCTGGCTATCAGGCGGGGCTGGCCGACTGCCGCCGGCTCCGAGGCCCGCTACCCGCGAGCGCCGTGCGCCCCGCCCGCCGCGCCAGGCGACGGTTCAAGGCCTCGGCCTGCGCCTGACCCGGCGCTGATATCTGACCCACTGGAGCAAGGAAAGCTTTTATGAACCCCGCCGGCAAGGTGGGAACGCCGCCCCCGCCGCCCCCGCCTGCAGTCTGGCGTGAAAATTGTTTCCGCGGGCTGGGTCTCATGTGGGTTGCCTATGCATCAGGCGGTTTCCACCCTCCGCCCCCGGCCCGCCCCGGAGCCAGACGGCCCCACTGTACTACTAGAGGTACTCGAACATCCGACGGGTGTATTTCGATGCGTGGCGAACATTGAAATCGAATCCATAACGCGGCCGGGGGCGGGGCCGGGGGCGGTTGGCGGGTTCCAGGTAGGCGAGACCCGGTTTCGGAGAACTCCCACGACTGATCGAGTGACGAATTGTTTTCCAGTGGGTGCACTGTACGCGCTGCGTGCGCCGTGCCACGGCCGTGCCCACACTGTATCGCCCGCCGGCTGCACTGCCTGCCCGTGGGCCCCGTGGGCGCCGTGGGCCGGGTCAGCGGCCTAAAGCAAAGGCGATAGGCGATGGGCGATACAGGTTGTTGTCTGCCTTCATTAGAGGCGCTGGCGCACTGGCGCCTGCAGCCTGGGCGCCCCCTGGCGGCCTGGTGGCCGGAGCGGAAAGCAGCCCGACAAGACACAAGACACAAGACGCAGCGCAGTGCAGTGCAGTGACCTCCAGCTCGCCTGACCACCACACCGCACGCCACGCCGACGGCGCTCTTGCTCGTTTTTGCCTCCTGATTTTTCGGGCCGGACCGCTTCACGCTACTCCATGGCACTCGACGCCCCCACGCCCCTCGCCGAAGTCTCCCGTTCCGTTAGGAAGCAAAACGCGGACGGGACGTCTGGAAATGGGATTTGCGTGGGATGGTCAGCCGAAGAGTTCAGTGGCTGGGTGCGCCAAGGTGCGCCTAGCCGGCTTCACGACATAATAACAGCCTTGGGGCGTTGGGGGCGCGCCACTACACTCGCCACGCGTTCGCCGTCCGTCGCTGTCACCTGTGTTTACCCGCGCTGGTTCCGTGCCGACTGGGCCGACTTAGGCCGACTGCAGTCCGTCTCTCTCGCACCCCTACGAGTGAGAGAGACAGGGCGACGGCGTGCCGGGCGGTGAGTCACGCGCGTGACGTCATCGTCACCGTCACGTAGGAAAGGGCGCGCTCCTGTCTTCCCGGGAACCGACCGGGAACCGCAGGGAGTTTCCAGAAAAGAAAATACGTCGGGGAATTTAAATGAGTGCACCTTCCGCCCCTTGCGTGGAGCGCTGGGCGGCGCACTGCTTTCGCCTCGCCCGTGTTCAAACAGCGTTTAGTGAGCGTTTAATTTGTTTGACGGCTCATTATTTCCAGTCTGCACGCAGACCCGCTGTCTGCTGGAGGAGCGACGCCAGACTCGGGGTAAGAATACCCCGGCTCCTTGTCCATTACCGCTGTTATCAACCAACACCCGCGTGGTCAAGATAGTGTACTGCCCGGCGGGGGGCGGGGTGGAGCGCCTCCCCAGGTGTCCGTTTGTTGACGGAGGGGTGCTGCCCCCGGTGCCCCCTCCACCACAGACAGCCCGCGAAGCGCGAACTGCGCGCAGACTGCAGACGGGGTGGTCGCCCCGCCGCCCCGCCGCCCCACCGAGGCCGAGGCGGTGCCAGACGGCCGCCACCGCAGCGGTCCACGCCGTCCACGCCGCGAGCTGCACCGCTAGGCCCAGGCCCAGGCCGCGGCCGGCGAGGCTAGGCCGTGCGGCGTCACGGAGACAGAGGGCATTCTGTCTGCAGCCGCCCAGCCGGCAGCACGCACACGGCGCACGAACACGGCGCACGCACCGCCACCATGCAGGCCGCCACCGTGACCCCCCGCGCGACCCTCGCCGCCCTCGCCGTCGTCTGCACTGTAAGTACCTCCAGAGTGGTCTCCAAACTTTTGCCAATGCGATCGAGGACTTCCAAAGTCCAGCCGACGAGTCGCTCGCTCCCGACCGTCCAAGCATTCCGACTCATTTATGATTTATGATTTCAGTTTCTTTTCCTATCTTTGCGTCTCGCTGTGTTCTAAAATAGATTTTTGGCAAGGCGGGCGCAGCTCCGTTCCCTACGTAGAATGCTGATTTTTTAAAAATGCCCTCGGTTGTCTCAGATTCTACTGTCCTTCAAATTCAGTTTTTAACTTATATTTTAAACTTTTTAATTGTTCTATTTTTTTGAAGTGAGTGTCAAGTCTTGTGTTTGTCATCATGATGGGAGCACGTAGCTCCTGCTGTGTTTGCTCGAAGTTTTCCCCGAATGGTCGGTCGAAGTGTTCGAAGAGCCACATTTTTGGGGTCTCTGCTGCCCCACCTGTCTGCTGGCACGTCTAGGCACGTCTCGGAAGACCAAGACGTCGAAGACACAAGGAAGGCACGCGGGGAAATAAATGACTATGATGATGGCCGGGAATGCGATGCCTACACCGTGGCGGTGCCGAAGCAAGGCTTACGCGCCTCGTGGCCTCGGCCTGCCTCGCCTAGCCTCGCCCGGGGATTCCTATTGGAGCAGAGCAATAAAAGGGCAGGCCGAGCCCCAGTTAGTCAGAAAAAAAGATCCTTCTTCTTTATGGAGGATTCGAACCCACGGATGACGTCACCTTTTCATCGTCGGCTTCGAACTGCCGGGAGGCGCGCGTGTGTTTTTCGGTGTGGTGTCACCCGGCTTTCCGGGTGCGTCAGCGCATTGTTGGGAGCTGCGTTGGTGTGAGTGCGTGCGTACGTGAGTAGGGGTCTCGCGTGGACTGTGTCGGCCGAATTCGGACCTACGTTGCGTGGGAAACTCGAACCTGCTGCCGTCTCTCCCCCTCTCTTTGTAGGCAGGCACTGCAGCGCGTGGTGACAGCCAGCCTCACGCGTGCGCCACTGCAAGGTGCACGGTGCGCCGCGGCGATAGATCGCGCAGCTTCTCATTTCGATAAGAAAGAACATAACTGTCGCGTCGGACCTCTAATCATCGCTCTGCTCGCTCTGCTGCCTCCAGGTGTGCCTCTGCCGCGCCGCTGTCATCCCCAGACTGGACCACGCCGACCACGCCGACCACGCCGTCGCCGCGCCGGAAGCGGCTGCCGCCGTCGCCAAGGCGGCCAAGGCGGACTTGGTGGACAACGCCCCCTCCCCGTCCCCGCCGCCCGCGGCGCTGACGGCCGAGGCGTTTCGCGCCCCGCAGCCCACGTCCGCGGGGCCAGGCCGGCCGGGGCGGCCCGGACAACCAGAGCCCGGGGCGTCTCCGTCTACGGCCGCGCCGCTGGGCGCTGTCCGGGCTGGGGCTGGGCGGGTCGCTGCACCTGGGGCTCAGCCTGCACTGGACGCTGACCACGCACTGGCCCACCACGCTCAACTGGATCCTCAGCCTGCACTGGAGCCCGCCCATGCACTTCTACGTGTCGCTGGGGCTGGCCAACAGCCTGGGGCACATCAGCAGCTGGGGGTGGCGCCGCAGGAGAGAGGTGAGGGAGCAGGCAGGACGGCTACTTGATGATGTTGCGTGGGTGTCTGGATTTCTAAATCTGTGTTCTCAACCAGCTGCGGCCCCCGACTCGAAGACCGACGTGGAGATTGAGGTGGACAAGGGCGCGCTGCTGCAGGCCATCGTGAACGCGCTGCAGGGCGGCACGGAGGTGGAGCCGGCGGACACGCAGGAGCAGCAGCATGTCCAACAAGTACCTCCCCTCGAGCAGACGACGACGTCCTCGCCACTGGTGGAGCTGGAGCCGCCCGCGGCGCCGTCGCGCCCCCTCGGCCAGGTGAAGCCCACCAAGGCGCCCCGCTTCTCCGACTCGTTCCTGCCGGCGCTCGTGCAGGTGCTGAACCACGTGGTGGACTTGGTGGAGGAGCGCGAGCAGGTGGTGGAGGTGCCGCCCACGTCGACCGCCGCCTACGTGATGGAGACGGTGCAGGTGCCCCCGCCGGCGCCCATCGAGGTCACCGTCGTGTCCCCGCACAAGCCGCTCAAGCCGGACACCGCCAACCAGGTCATCATCAGCGGCCCCCTGGCGGGCATCGCGTCGCTGCTGTCCGCCGTGGCCACCAGTGTGGTGGGCACCCCGGGCACGGCCAGCGTCAGCATCACCGAGAACCACGCCGCCAAGGCCGAAGCCGTCACCCCGGTGGCCCTCGCCACAGAGGCCCTCGCCACGGAGGCCCTCACCACGGAGCCTCTCACCACGGAGCCGCTCACCCCGGAGGCTGCCACCCAGGCTGACACCGAGGACGTCACCGGGATCGTCATCCAGGACGTCACCGAAGCCACCATTGACTTTGTGAACAAAGACGCCACCGAGTACGAGAGCGAGGCCACCACCGTGGTCGCCACCGAGGACACCACTCCACTGGTGACCCATGGCAACATCAAGAACGCGGTGACGGAGGTGGTGAAAGGTGCCGTCGCGGCGGCCGTCGGGGAGGCCGTGGAGGACGCCGTCAAGGGCGTCGTCAAGGACACGATCAAGGAAATCTTCCGCGGCGAGGGCAAGGACCTCCTCCAGTACGAGCCTGTCGTCAACAGCGTTCAGGCCGTCGCGGAGCTGATGGACGACGAGGACATGCAGGAGGACATGCCGGTGGTCCAGAACGACGTGCCGGTGGTCAACGAGGAGACCGTGCCCATGACCATGATGATGTCTATGGTGATGGACGACGCCGGCCCGCTGTCCTTCGACATGTCGCCGGTCGAGGAGGACGACGAGGCCGCGACGGAGGCGCCCTGCCGCAGCAGCCGCAGCAGGCGCGCGGCGGACGTGTTCCCGGACGAGTTCAAGACCTACGTCGAGATGCCGACGGAGGACAGCACGGACGAAGCCCCGGTGGAGACGACGACGACGACGGTCGAGGACGACGACGTCGCGAACGAGGCCGAGTTCGCGGACGAGGGCGTGTTCGCGCTGCCCCAGTACCGCGGCGAGGCCGTGGCCGTGGGCAAGAAGACGGCGTCCTCGGGCGCGTCCGACTCGCTGCTCGCGCTCGTCAAGCTGCGCTTCGCCCTCAGCGCCGAGGCCCGGAGGCAGAACTTCAAAAACTTCCAGGTAGGGGACGACACTGCGGACGAGGGGTCGTCGCCTTGTACGAAGTACTTTGCATTGCCGGCATGGGCAGGTGCAGTATTTCATGAGGTAATTTCGAGGAATGGTCTTCGCAGTCGTCGCAGTCATCGCAGACGTCGCAGTTCTCCCACTCCCAGTCTTCGCAGACTCCCCAGTCTACCCAGTGTTCCCAGTCTTCCCAGTCTTTCGAGTCTTTTCATTCCTCCGAGTTTTCTCAGTCCAACGAGACTTCACTGTCCTCCCAGTCTTCGCACTATTCCCACTCTACCAATTATTCTCAATCTTCCGAGTCTTTCAGGTCTTTCTATTCCTCCAACTCTTCCCAGACTTTGCACTCTTTCCAGTCCTCCGAGTCTGGGTGAAATAAGTGGGCATTAAAAGGCACCAAAGGGTAATGTGGTCCCGTGTACCAGGTTATAATGCAAGTTGACGATCCCTCGACTAAAGACATTCACTAAAGTTTTGCTCCTTTACCACTTTCTTTTCTCTGTTTCTATATTTGTACTCGCATCTTTTTCCAGGGTTACTCGGACCGCGTCCTCGCCGCGCTCACCAGGACGTCCTCACTGACCGCCAGGGAGCAGCTGGGCGTCCTGCTCGCTGGCGTCCTCGACCAGAAAGCCATCAAGTCCCCGAAGACGACCAAGCGCGCCGCCGTCGTGCTGAGCGAACTGGAGGACCCCAAGTCGGAACTCAGCCGCACCCTGGAGGACCTGCCCGCACTCAAGTACAGCGCCTGAGGACTTGGCTCGCGAGTGTGTGCGGCAGCCAGCGCCCCAGCGAAGAGAGAGAGAGAGGGAGAGGGAGAGAGGGAGGGGGAGAAAAGAAGAGAGAGAGAGGGAGATAAGAGCCGGCGGACTAGAGAGCACCTGTCGAACCGCTTGCCGCCCCCCGTCCTCCGAGAGCACATGTTGAAAAGTTAGTCGATCGAGTCAGGGGTTGTATGTCGTGCGTGGCGGCGAGGCCCCGCGGCGCGCTCCGGGGAAGACCGCCCCAGCTGGGGCCCACCCATGCCCCGCCGCGTGCCCAGCAGTGCGACTTTGCCTTGACGACTGACGAGGCTTCCGCTAGTCCCGAGAACAGTGAACCTGAACCAGTGTGTTACCATAAAGACTTTTACGTTTACCTTATTTATAAGTTTTATTTATAAGTGGTTAAGATTTTCGAGCGCAGCCGCGCGCGCGCGCGTGTCTAGGTTTGAATTTATTTTTAGTTAGTTACCGATATATTTATGCCATTACTGTTTTACTAGTTATGAGCTCAGTGACTGATTACGTTAAGTAGATTGTTATATTTTTTTACCGAAAATAAATCTATTTTTAACACTTTTTCAAGGAATGAATGCAGTTTCTCTCTTTACCGTCTGCCGTCGTCTGATGCCACCAAAACAACCGCACCGATGCACACCAACAAAAACAACAACACAGACAGCTGATAGAAAAAGCCGGGGGTGACGTAACGACGGCTTGCATAAAACAGGCCCAGCGCATGCGGGTCAAATCGATGGACTACTAGGAGGGCTGGCGTGCGGAAAGCGTTGCGGTGTCACCACACTCTACTCACCGCCCACCGCGTCGCGTCGCGTTGGGCGCACCGCTGAAAGGTCTCGTTGCCTTTTCCATTTCCCTGCCAGCCTATGCCAACTCAAAGTGAATACAATAATTGTACGACGCTCCTGGCAGAAGTCTGTTTGATCAATCGTTTTATTCAAAAACACATTTTACAAAATTATTAAATTACCTAAATCAAACTTAAATTATACAGCAGCGGCACTCCTCTATGTACACATTATTTACTATCCCGTTTCATCATCGTTGTGGTAAAATGGTCCAAACCGTTTCTTTGGTACAGTACTTTGAAGTGGTCAATAAATTAAATTCGGCATTAGTACCAGCAACACACACGGCACGTAAGTTACAGATTACAAATTGGCACTTTTTATGGGTGAGATCCTGTCGTCTGAGCTCTCCATCTCTATGGGTGCGTGCAGCACGTGCAGGCGCGTCAGCCCGCGTTCGAGCCCAAGAAGAGGGCGCCCCAGCCCAGCCCCGCCATGGTCCCCAGCACCTCCACCAGGAAGTACGCCACGGACGACGGCGACAGGTCCAGCTGCCGCCCGCTCCTCCAGGATGCCGTCGACGGCGCCGCGGCGGTCTTGGCGTCGGAGGGCGCCGCGTTGGCGGTGCCGTTGAGGCTGCCGCCCGCCCGGACGGCCTGGACGGCGGCGTCTTTCTTGAGGCTCCGCAGGTTGTCGTCCTCGTCCTCGTCCTGGTCCTCGAAGCCCTGGAACTCTTCGTCGAACAGCAGGTCGAACAGCGCCTCGCCGACCCAGCGCGTGGCCATGCCCTGAAAGGCCCTGGAGGCCTCGGCGCTGCTCACGTTCATGGCCCTGGCCGCCACGCCGGTCAGCGCGGCTCGCAACCGCTGCCGGTCCGCCAGGACGCCGGCCGCCCCGGCACTGCGGCCCAGGACCCTGCTCCTGGCGCGCCGGAACGCCCTCTTGAGGGTCGCCAGGAAGACGGCGTTGTTGGCCGCGTCGCGGTCCAGGGCGTTGCCGTCGGCGCCGTCGTCGTCGGCGGCCACGGACTTCGCTGCCGCCGCGTCGGCCTGCCTCTTTCCGGCCAGAATGAGCCACGCCAGGTCTTCGTGGTCCTCCTCGTCCTCGTCGTCGTCCTCATCCTCATCCTCGTCTTCGGCATCGCGGCGGCGCCGCTTGCTCAGCATGCCGTCCAAGTCCAGCCAGTCCTCGTCGTCCTCGTCGCTGCTGCTGTCGTCGCCGAGGCCGCTGATGTCGCGGTGCTCCTCCGCCTCGCTCAGCAGCAGCGCCAGCAGCGGCTTGGGGAACATGGCGTGCAGCGTCTCCAGCATGGCCTCCACCACGGCCTCGTCGGACCACTCGTCGTAGTCGTCCGAGAGGATGCCGCCGCCGCCGTGCCCGTGGTCCTTCTCGCCGTGGTGGCCCAGGGGGATGACGATCGGGAAGGGAATGGGCACGGGGAGGGGGAGGGGGATCGGCACGGGGATGGGGAGGGGGTTGGCTGCTGTGGTGGCCTCGCCCGGGATCGGCTCGAAGGTCGTGGCCTCCATGGACATGGTCGAAGCCGAGGAGTCGGACGAGGCGTCGTCGGTCGGCGTGTCCGACATCATGTCCGTCGTGGCGGTGCCGTTGACCGCCAGCGTGGTGCCCGTTGGTCCGTAAGGCCGGCGTCGTGGGCGACGTGCGCGCGGTGCGGGACGTCGGCGCCGTTCGGGCCGTGGGGACCGTCGGCGTCGTGCGGGCCGAACGAGTAGTTCGTGTCGTCGGCGGCGCTCGCGTTGTCCGGGGGGTGGCCGTCGTGGGTGGCGCTCGGGTTGTACGAGGCGTCGGTCTCGTGGTAGGCGTCGGCCTGGTGGTGGGCGCGGGGGTGGTGCGTGTCGTCGGCGGCGCGCGGGTGGTTCTTGTCGTGGGTGGCGCTCGCGTTGTCCTTGGCGTCGGCCTCGCGGTAGTCGCGCGCGTCGTTCGTGGCGTCGGCGTCGTGGGCGGCGTCGTGGGCGGCGTCGTGGGCGGCGTGGTTGGTGCAGTCGAGGCTTCCGTCGTTGCCTCCGCAGTCCCTGCCGTCGTCCCCGCCACTGTGGACGACTCCGCGTTCATGGGGGAGCTCGCGTCCGAAGGGGGCAACTCGGTGACCATGTCCATGGCCATGTCCATGGGGGACGGCATGGGCGACTCCGGGTCCTGGCGAGGGTCCGCGGGCAGCGCTGTGCACAGCGGCATGCTGCCCGTGCAGAGGAGGGCGGACACCTGGGTACAATGAGGCCGGCGTGGGTAAGCGAGGAAAAACAAAACAAACGACGCTGGCATCGGGAAAACTGGTTCGGTAAACGAACTGCTTACAGTGAGCAGTGCGGCCGTCACCGCGGTCCCGCGCATCGTGGAGGACGCTGCCGGACGTCCGCTGCCTGGGGGCAAATCAGCAAGGGCAGTTAGGCAGCTGCTTTTCTTCGCAGTTCTCCCATCCAGCACCAGTCACACTTCCGCCAACGAATGGAGCCGCCATTGGGATTCCCCTCCCCGCCAGACCGCACTTCACCGCGGCAGCGGCGAGCCAAGGCGTGCCAAGGCGCCCCCAATTCACGCGGTGGGCCGTCGACTGCATGACAGAGTGGCGATGGCCGAGGAAAGCCCATCGCCCCTTCCGCGCTCCGTCGAGCCCCCGCCACCCCTCGCCCCCTCGCCCTGCTACCCCTCACCCGCTACCCCCGGCCCCGCATCCGGGGCGGCCGCGCGGCCCGTGTCCGAAACGGCCGATCGGCGCCCCCGAACGCCGCGGACGCCTCCCGCCGTCCGAGATGGCACTGCCGATAAGGCGGTGGTGGTGGTGCACTGTGGCACGGCGCGGCACGGCGACACGGCACGCCACGGCACGGCGACACGCAAAGCCATAAGCTAAGCGCGGGGCCGCGGGGGCCTCGGTCTGCCTGCGCCCCTCGTGTCGGAAACGCGGCCAATAACGCCGTGCCGGGCGGCGCGGTGGCGGTGCCCTCCTGACCAATCGCACGGCCTCCATCCACGCCGCGCGCCGCGTCGCTTCCTGGACGGCGACAAAGCCCCTCTCCCTCGAAAGCTGGCGGTTTGAACCCGAGACCTAGTCGTTCAAAGAACAAGAACAACGCTTGCACAATGCGCGTCTTGCAGTGCAGGGGACAGGGCCGAAAAACATAAGTCAACACGGAACACCCTTCGCCCTTCACCAGCCCCACGACGTCACGTCCCTCCAGTGGCGACGGCCCGGCGGTCCGGCCAAGCAGCTTCAACACAGACTTTAGTGCGCACCGAAGTTGGCTCTGTTTACGTGTTGACGCACTGGGATCTTGCCTAGTCCGTGGCGTAGGGCCTCGGGGCCGGAGGGCCGTAGGTGTCACAGTCCACACAGCCACAGCGAATCACAGCCCCATCATTAATCAGGCCTTTGTGTCTAGACAACCCCCTCGCCGGCCTCGCCGGCCTTGCCCCCACTCTGTAATCAGAGGGCTTGTAAGCAGGCGCCATGATTAGGCTGGCGGGCCGGGCCGGGGCGGCCACAGTCACAGAGCACGCCCCGAGGCGGCCTTAGCCCTTCAGCCCTTCAGCCTTGGCTTCAGCGACGCCGCCACGCACACGCACCCCGGCACGGCGGTCGCGGTGGAAAGCCCTCCAGGGTGGATAGGGGACCCAAACAAACAAATTTTCCCTCGTAGCGCCGGAAGGTTCGCGGAGGTGCAGACACTCATCCCCTTCTGGCCCACCGAGGGGTTGCCTACCTGCCGAACAACACTGGCTGAACACACCACTTTAAGGTCCTAGGTTTCGAACACGGCGGAGCCTGCCTCCGCTCTCCCCCGCACCACTAGTAGTGGTAGATCGCGGGGCGCGGTCTTGCTCGTCTCGGACACGCGGCGGAGCGGAGCGCTGGCGCACGCTGGCGTCGGTGCAGCCGGAGAGAATGCTGGTGCCGTCCGTCGCGCACTGCTCCTGATTATGTTCTGGGGGCGCGACGCGACGCGGCGTGGTGCCGCACCACGCGGAGGCACGCGTGCACGCCCCTCCCCGCCCCGCCCCGCGCCTGCCCATCGCACACACCTTTGGTGCACGCCACGACGGGGCCGCGCGGGGCCCCGCCCGCGCCCGCCCCGACCTGGATCAGCGTTCACACTCACACACACGCCCACACTCATACACTCACACACACACGCCCAAACTCACACACACACACACACACACACACAGCGCGACGCCCGCAGCCCAGGACACGGACGTTCGACGACAGCAAGCATCACGCACATTGGGCTGGGCATGGCCGCTTTAGTCCTGGCCAGAGCGCGTGCAAAGCTGGTAACGGCCTTCCGTGTTGGACACCCCCGCCGATATCGAGAGGGGTGGGGTGGGGCGGGGCGGGCGGGGCGAGGTGGGGCGGGGCGAGGCCGCGTAGTATTCCTCCCTCATGCTGCACGCGGCCTGACGGCCTGCCGGCCTGCCCGGTGGCCGCGGAAGTGGTGAAGGGCTGCCCTGCACTCATCGGGCCAGCTCGGGCTCGGCGGCGGGCGGTGCAGGCCACAGCTCGGCACGGCTAGTACCAACACCGGCCACCTCGCTCGGGTCTTGTTTCATACACAATTTTAATTACTATCTTTGGAATGAGCCCGCATACTACCCCGTATAAGGAAACCGAACGAGTATTGACTGAGAAATTTGAAAGGGAAAAGAAAAAAATTTGAACTCTACACCCCCTCCCCAGTCTTAATGGGGAGGCCTCCTGCTTTACTTCGGTGTTCGGGATGGGAACCGGTGCTATCAGGTACCTGGGGTTAATCCCGTCAGCGACTCTAAGCGTTCGCCGGGGGACCCAGTAGGACCCCAAAGCTCAGGCAGCTGGGTGAGAGCACCCAGTACGAAGCTCTTAGAGGGGCGGGACGTAGAGTGAGACGACAGAGAGACAGAGAGAGACTCAGACAGAGAAGAGGTTTGGTGGGAGCTTCTTGTTTTCGTAGGGTTGGTTGTGTACCCCATGGTACCCCCACTGTCCGGCGCTCCCGTACCGAACATACAGCGTTTTAGGCCAGCTTCAAAGGACTTATCATCGCCTCCCCGACGAATCAAGGAGGCACCACCCGCAACCACACACCGGATGGTCTGGATTGATGGATCAAATACTCCATCGCTCCAGTGCCGAGGCCAACCCGCCGAAGCGGATTGCTTTTTAGACACCCACAGCGGAGTGGCCAGGTGAATGTGACTCTGACCACTACGCTATCACGCTTGTACGTCTGGCAGCGTGTTGGACGACGGGTTTGAGTTGCAGTGGGAGGAAGGCAATCGAAAAATGTAACGAAATGATGAGATTCGATCCCCGGACCCCGCCACCGGGATCACACGACTTTACGCTCTCGGCCACCACGGCCCATGATGAGGGGACCGGCGTGAGGTGGGTTCTTGACGCAACAGGACTCGACCGACCCGGTCAAAATTTCGCAAGAAGTTGGGGGAGTCGAACCGCCGACCCTAGCACTGAGAACCGACGCCTCTACTCCCTGGACCACCACGTCCCATACTCGGAGTGGGCTCACGTTTACAGGTTTGAACCGCACTGGGTGAGGCAGTAAAATTAAATGGAAATATTTGTTAGGAGTCGAACCTCCGGCATGTGGGCCTGTTGCACACAGCTCCGCTCTCATGGCCCCGAACCACCACCCTTCGGATAGCAAGTCGAAAAAACTTTTGTGACGCTGGTATTCGAACGCCGGCCTGCGGCAACCCGATCCCACGTCTCTAACCTCTCGGCTATCACAACAGTTGTGAAACGGGATGGATCATCTTCTTTCACTAACGTTCGTTGAATGAGATTTTTTTCAGGGTAAGAGCATTTCTCCAGGCCAAGAGCATTTCTCCAGGCTTGTCGATGATCGAAGCGGGCTGGGGCGCCGCTCGACCCCTCGCAGAGTAGTGGCACTGCCTTTCTTTGAGAGGGCGGGCGCGGCGCCGCGAGCGCGCCAGTCGGCGCTCCCTGGCGGGCGTTGGCCGCGTTGGCCCCCCAGCTCGTTGGCCTCGGCGGCCTTGCCGGAGCCCTCGGGGCGATGAGGATGAGGGTCTGCGGACTGATTCCGAGAGTCTTTGTCGTCGCTCCGTCTCTCTCGCACTAATACGGGACGCCCCATGAGTGCGAGAGCGACAGAACGACGAAAAAGGCTCTCGGAATCAGTGAGTTGCAGCTCTGCAGCAGCCGCCGCTGTCTACGACCCGGCCAAACGCCGCGCCCCGCCACGGTGCCCAACACCGTCGTGGTCGTCGCGGTGCTCCTCGCCGCAGCGCACCGCGCACCGTGCCCGCACTAGTATCTCCCTAGCTCTCGGCTCGCAGTAAAGATACAGCTGCGCACATAGGGCAGAGCGTCGAAACGAGGACGAATACAGACTTGCGCCACCTGCCGGGTGATTCAGACGTACCGCGTCCGTCGTCCGCTCTGTCTCTGTCGCACTCTGGGGTGCTCCGTGGGGGAGTGAGAGAGACAGAGCGATAAGCCGTTCCTCTGAATCGCATCGCTCGGTTGAACACACTGCTGGGAGTCCCAAGAGTCCTGAGCGTCCACTGTGTCATGGTCGCGACACTAGTGCGCCGGCGACGAAAATCTTGGTGGCCGACTTGGCCTGCGCCACGCGAACGCGAAGAGAGACGTACAGGCGAGCCGAATGGTTGACGGCGTGCGCGCAGTGGTGGAGATACAGTGAAGGCGGAAACGCATCGACGTACACACACACACACACACACACACTCACACACACAAATGAGCGTGTTTTGTTCCATTTTCCCGCAACAGGTGGCTACTTTGATATCGGCCGCCGGGATCGGCCCCAACCCAAAAGCACGCCGCGCTGTGGCGAAAAACGGTCAAAGTGGCGCGGTGGCCACGGCGGCCCCCGGCGGCCCAGGGCCCGTTGGGGCGGCCGGAACAAAGCTAGTGTAGGTGTAATTTGGTGCTAAGCCATGGGGCCATTACCAAAAATGAAAGGTTTACCTGGGCGAGTCCGCGGGAACGCAGCAGCAGCAGGCGCGACTCATTCAGACGCGGGGGTTCGACTTTCGTCGCGAAAGTCGCTCAGACGCTTTTGAAACACAGTTGGAATGTCCTCCGGAAAACACGCTGCTTTCGAGTGGGGATGTACTCGCGGGCGAGGCTCCGGAGCCCTCGATCCGCGAGGGCGCGGCGCGGGGTGTCGCGTCACGTGGGGTGCACACCGTGCACTCGGCGTGCATGTGAGTCGAGTCCGCGAGTCCCCTTGGTCGCGAGGGAGGCCTAGCGTGGCCCAGCCTTGTGCGGCCTAGCCTTGCGCGCCGGCGGCAGCACTGCAACTGGACGAAGAGGGCAAGAGGGCAGCGTGACGTCTGGCCCTGGCGCCTGGCCCTGCGGTGGTAAGGGTCTGAGGTCTCGGGGGGCCGGCCTCTGGCCCCTCCGGCCTCTGGCCTGCGCCGAATGCCGCCATCGCCCACCCTCGCCTTCCCCCGCCCTCCCCGCCCGGCTGGCCAAGAAAGCAGTCCAGTCCGCCGACCCCTAAACCACCCCTTCCCCTACCCCTTCCCTTCCTTAGGCCGTCCTCCGTCCTTCCCTCGCGCCCCTCCGGCCCTCCCAAGGGCTGGCCGCCGCTGGCAACGCGAGCAGAGGCACCAGTGTGCCATTCCCCTAACGGGCTAGCCGTAACATTTGTGCATGCCCAGTGGCTCGGCCGGCCGGTTCGGCCCCATTCGGCACCCGGCCCCCCCAAGCCCCGCCCCGCCACGCCGTTGCCCCCATCGAATGCCAAGTGAAGCGCGAAAACTGCTGGCCGTAGAACTTCCCGGATGTGCCCGACACGCGACATTTACGTTGAAAGCACGAGCATCAGTTGTGGTCTAGCCTTTCAAGTTAAGTCAACGGACAGAGAAAACGCCCGCAGTTCTCCGGGTAGGCAGTGCCGCCTTGCAAGTCGTTGATGTGGGTTGCCTATCCGCTCGGCGCTCTCCTGATTCCGTCACATCTTTGCCAGACCAGATCCATGAGAGTGAAAGGGCAGCGATGAATTTTGTTGTTTAGAATGAGTGCGACGATTCCCTCGCTGTCAGTGTGTCAGTGATGTCCAATGGGACCCGAAAAATAAGCAGGAGCTGAACGAACGCTAGTCAAGCGGCGATGGGGCGCCGTGGGCGCCGTCCTCCGGACAAGGCACGAACTAGCAGTGCAACCTTAAAAACCCACACTCCTTATCTGTGAAAATATGGCTTATTCATGTGAGGGTAGAAACCTGACTTTTAAAAAGGAAAACTGTCGCTCCGTATGTGGAACTCCCCAACGGTTCATGTCAACCGTAAAATAAGTGAACGGCAACAGAAGTTGTAACAAAGCATTCATTGCGGACGTTGGCAGTGCTTGGCGCGCAACTGCACTGTGTTCCCCGCCCTACGACAAGTTTGGACAAGTTGTTTTCATCGGCCGTTTGTCAAATTCTTCTTCAAAAGTGGAATGTCTCGCGAAGTGTGAAGATGTACAAGAACCGTTCACGAGGCCTGAAGCGCGTTGCGTCGGTCGTGGGAGCGTCCACGTCGTCGGCGTCGAATCTCGGTGAAGACAAAAGCAGCTTCTCCAGGCCGCCTAACCAACAAAGATCGCCTCTGAAGGAGGCTTCCAGGCAGAATGTTGAGGAAGAGGAGGACGACGACGATGTCAGGCCCCCTCCAGCCAAAAAGGCACACAATCCAGTCTCTCAGGTCGAGAAGAAACCTGTCAAAAGCACTCGGGAGGAACCGAAGAGTCAACCGAAACCGAAGACTCAACCAAAGATGAAAGAAAGGGTGGAGACCACTCAGAAGCCAAGGCCTAGCAGATCATCAAGAGAACGCGGCACGAAATCCAGTCTCTTGAGTAATTGTGTGGACATTGACGCTGACACCTTGTATGCAGTCTTCCCCACGAAATTTGAGGAGCTGGTGACTAAGAGTGGCTTCAAACTGCAGGACGGAGATGAACCTTTCTTACTGAGTATGATAGACTCTAAGCAGTTATGCTTCTTTTTATTTCTTTGGTACCGTATTTTGACTTTCGATCATGTGTTTCTTTGTTCTCTCAGGGAAGGACCAAGCTGTATTTGTTCGCAACTTGACTATTTTACTAGCGGAGAAAGATGACAACCCCGATGAGTTCTTGGAAGGCTTTGAAAAATACATTGAAAACAGGCAGAACTTCAGGAAGATGCTGCATGAAACACAAGTCAGTTTCTGTCCCTTGAAGCTCAGCTTCAAAACTTTTTTCAGTATTTTTCTTATTCTGATTGCCTTCATACTTAACATTTCTTTTTTGATCCTCAACATCGGTTCATTTTGTTTACAGACGGATCCAGATTTTGAAGATGCTCGCAGCTCTCAACAAGACAGTCTCATTCGTATGTTACTTTCTGTGGAATCAATTCAACCCAAAGTAATAGTTCTGCTCATCCAAAAATTGGTGGAGCTAATTCAAAGGGATAAGAAGTCAGTATTTTATGAATCATTTTGTTATTAGCGTCACCAAAACCTGTAGATTTTTATCTGAACGAATTTTGCAGGGAAATCGAGGAAGATGATGTTCCATGGGTTGAGCTGATTGTGAAAAGATTTTGTTTTCTTGACCAGTTAGTGGATGGAACTGCTCTGTTCAATGATATCTTCAGACTTCTGCAAATAGCTCCTGTGTCTGTTCAACAAGAAATTATTTACAATTTGCCTTCCATCATGGGTGACGCTCATCATGATGAAGTGGCTGAGCGGCTACTGTGAGTATTTTGCTTGGTGTGTGAGAGATTTCTCACTGGTAACGTACTTGGTATTTTCTACTTACTCAAGTGATGACTTAAAGGCGAATATGATTGGTGTGCTCCTGTTGAGGACTGATTCAGTTTCTTCCAGTAGAGCTACCCACTGAATTATTTTCAAACCTGATGAGTTTTATTTAAGTCTAATTAAACATTAACTTAAACCATTTGACTTCACATTTTAGCTTATTTTCTGAATCTAAATGTAAGCAATGGTTCTAGTGATGAATGTAAGGCGAAGATGAATGGTGTGCTCCTAGAAGGTTCTACGTCTTCTCAGTTGAGCTACCCCATGAGATGCATTACAATCTGAAGTTAGAATTTTTCACTGTAGTTTTGCTCTTACCCTTTGATGAATATAAGGCGAATATGAGTGATGTGCTCCTTAGAGACTACTCAGTTGAGCTGCACCATGAAATGCAAAAAGACTGAGGGGTAGCTTAGCATATTTAAAGCTTGCATCAATTTCCAAAAAATCAAACATCAGTCATTACTTAAATAATAACTTTCTTTCCTGATAATTTGAAAATTCTATTAAGCTTTCTTTAACCTTGTCTGCTCATCCAGGAACCTTATGGAATCTAAGCGAGACTTGACTCGGGCTGTGCTGGAAGCCCTTGGCAGTTTGCCTTTATCACCAACCCAAAGTGCTGACATACGAAACCAAATGATGCAATCACTGAAGAATGCTCCCATTGAATTCATTCCAGACATTGTGAAGTTTGTAGCTCTTGAACAATGTACAAATCATGATGAGGTATTTCAATTTAATCAGTTGTAGAATAATAGTATGAGAGCCAGCAGAAATTGCTTTTCCAGCAATCATGTGGTTTACTAAGCAAATAATTTTTTTTTCTTTTGGCTTGCAGATTATTAATGGCCTAAGAAGCAGTCTACCATTTACAAAATTACATGCCAAACTACTTGCAGAAAAGGCAGCCCGTGAAAAGAATGTGTCTGATTTTCAGGCTGAATTTGCTTCTACAATATCTCTCACTTTCCGCAATTTGAGGGGTGCCTTCTTGTCCATCCCTTCTTTAGCAAGTGCATGGTGCAAAAACATAAAAGGCATACTCTCACCTAATGATCACCGACCTTTAGACATTATGATTCTTCTCTTGATGCATTGCAAAGCAAGTAATCGTAGGAAACAGGTTGAGTTGGTGTGGCGGAATCGCATCAAAACTAAAATGTTCACCCATACCTTGCTTGTAGAAACATTTCAAGTTATGATAGTTGTTCTAAAAAAGTACAAAGATGATGTCCTCAATGTTGCATCAATTTTACTCAGGTATAATTTTTCCTGATCATTTGACTTTGACAACTGCTCAACTGCACTTGCTAATGTAATTAAATGAATTTGCAGAAACTCTGATTTATCAGTTCGTGAATATGGCTGCTTGATGTTTAAATTGTCATTTGTCCATTTTGAATCCCATATTAGACACCAAGTGGTGTCAGATCTTATTCTCCATGTTGGTTCAGGAGATACGCATGCTCAAGTTGCTCTTGATGTTTTGTTAGAGCTGGCAGGGGATCACCTTGACAAACTGAGCAGACTTACTATCCTCCTTCAGGTTAGCCTCATCATTTATTTTCCTTTTGCTCCTTGTGTCTGCTTAATTTTTATTTCATCGTGTAAATTTTATTTCAGAACCTTCTTGACAATCTAGACAAACTTAGTTTACAAGGTGTGAGGCAGATGATGGACCTGCTTTGCAAGATGGCTTATGCACCAGAAGTTGTGGATACCGGAGTGGTAGGTACTCTTGGGGACAACATTTCCATAATTGTCCATAAGCAGCTTGCTTCTTTTGAGCCAATGCTGAAGAGGAAAGGTGTTGTCAGTGCCGTGATGATGCTTAAATATATGGCCGGAGTCGGACTTGACTTTACTAACTCTAGTGTAGAAAACCACAGTTTAGAGAGTTTACCTGCTGGTAGACCTAAGGAAGCAGGCAATCTTCTAGGTAGTTATCAAGCAATTGCCTGATATAATAATATGGTACAATCATTTTATTTTAATAGCTTTTAAACTTAATGGTTCCTGTTCCTAATTTCAGATTTGGTAATGAGAAGCACTCGATCATCACCTGAAGTCCTTGGATACTGCCTGGATCAACTATCATTTATGGTGTACCGTTGTGATACGCTAGATCCGATATTTCTACAACACTTTGTTGATAAAATGGAAGATTCATTCATGGCCAGTTTCTTACCTGACGATTGTAATATTCCATCCACTAGTCGGGGAAACAACCTAGAATTACGCATGACAGATCAATACGGCTTGGACAAGGATTCGGAGGAGCCTATTGCTTTAGGTGTTGGAGTCCTTGTCTTGAAGGTACTTTATTTTTTTATTGACTTATCTTTGAAAAGTTTATTTTTCATTTGTCTCAGCAATTTTTTAAATTTTGTATGTCTGCATTCCAGGATGCCCGCAACTCAAAAGAAGGCAGCAACCGACAGTCCCATGATGGCACCTATCCATTGTTGGTTTTAAACTCACTATTTCGGTTGCTAAGGGTCCTAAAATTTCGGACTGGTGATGAAAATTTGGAGGGCATTGATGCCCTTCTTGGGTGTGCTGTTAACATGCCTTCCCATGAGACCATTGTAGACTTTAACACATGTGGTCCTTCCCAACAAGCTGACATTGTGGATTGCTTATTCTATTGTATCAACTGGTTCCGTGAAATTATCAATGCGTTTTCCAATACTAAATCAGAGGCTTACTTGGAGAAAGTTATGATCCGATTGAGAAATTTAGTTGCTCTACAAGGCATATTGTCAAGGCTTATTGGCAATACTATGAATTATACTCCTCCACAATGTATGTTTTATGAGAAAGTCAAGAAAATTCAATTGAAGGGACTCTCTGAAAAACCCAAGAAAAAAGGTAAAGCCAAAGGAAAAAAGGCCTCTAAAAAGAAAATGAATGAATCATCTGCCATTGATGAAACAACAAATATCAATGAAGACTCTGATGAGGACGAGAAAGAGAAGGAGGAGGAGGGTGCTGGACCTGTCGATTTATCTCGGTACCGCAGCTTTTTACGGGAGCTTGACCTGGATGTGTTTGGTCTTATGAAAGAGGATTTGGTAATGACTCCACCTCCAGAACGTGGAGCAGACTCTACAGCTGATTTAGGACCTGCAGAATTACGCTTTTTGTTAGAGGATTATGTTGCCAAGCTGGAACACTCATTCCCTTCAGGCAAAGCTAGTCGTTTTGCCCAAATGAAGGCTGGAGGAGAATCCCAATACAATTTTGCTGTGTGGGACCTTTTGCCTGTTCTGGAAAAGGCAACCAATGCTGTATCCATGCTCCCAATTTTATGTGAGAAGTTGGAGCAAATTGGAGAAAGTTGCAGGAATCTACTTGATGCCAATGATGGCGTCATAGATGGACCTGGCATGTTTGTAGAGGGAACTTCCAATGTGAAAATCTGCTTTGCTCTGATTTTAAGAGCCATGTCATCAACATTTGCGTGGAATGGTTTCCATCACTCACAGAATTCTGAATTACTTCTGAGTTAGTACACCTTTCTTCAGACCAATACTGTTCACAGTTTAATTTTGATTTCTTATGTTATTTATTTATTTGTATGTCTGTTTCAGAGGGCTTAAAAGTTCTTGCCACTCGACTTGATTCATCAAAGAAGCGATCATCTGTATTTCCATTAATAGAGGATGCTGTGGACTATCTTAAACGTTTCCATGAATGGATTCTTCATCTGGATGCTGGTGTGCATCTAGTCAAATTACTCCAAGTCTTTGGCATGTTGTGGGATATAAACATTTCTCGGATATCTGGACGTCAGACTCGAGTCAACCCAACCAAAGAAATCTTAAGTAAGTTTTTTTTACCCCTGGAAATATACTTATGGAAGAATCAGCCTTCTGCATGCAAATGTCCAAATTTTAATTTCTTTTTCTCTCTCTTGTTGCAGAGGATGTATGTGCAGCCTTCCTGCATCGCCCTTGGTCTACATTAGATGGTGCAACTGAGAAGGGAACAGCATACACTCTTCAAGTAGAACTCCTCGCTCGAGTTTACTTTGAAAGTGTTGAAGATAAGTTGGATGTATTGCAAGAGTTGGTACCCAAACTCTACAATGAGTCAAGAGAACTAACAAACAAAGAATCAGCTTTTGAAACTTTCCCAGCTGTTAGCAAGTAATTAATCACTGTTGCTTTGTTGATACAGTTACCTTGCTAAGCATATACTGTTGTAAATTTCATATTCTGTTTTATATTTTGTTTTTAGGTACAATTTTTATGTGTTGTGCAGAGTAATGTATTCTGCACTTGCCAAAGGAATTCAGTCTGAAATGTCAAAAACTGATGATATTGTTCAGCAAATGAAGGCATGGACAACAGTTTTTAAGGTCTTGGGGGGAATGGTTGACATCACACAGAAATTCACAGCAAGGCCTTATCTAGCAGCTATGTTAAAAGTAAGTATTCATTACACGATTTAGTCTTAGTTTTGTTGAATGACATTTCTTGTAACACAAATTTTCTGTTTTTCAGCATGGTCAAGTTCTCCTCAAATACTTCCTTGATAAAGGAATGCCTGTGCTTGAAAGCTGCCTTCGCAATAACACCGAGGAAGTTATGGCAATTTTGCGCAGTTCTCAAACTTTAACAAGATTTATTAACAAAATCTGTTTGAGTTGCAAGGTAAATGCTGTTAACTCATATTAATTTTAGCATAGTACAGTTGTCAGACCTATTGCTAGAGAACTGGAGTACTTCAATTCACTAACTGTGGGGTTACATTACAGACCAGCCAAGATTCTGCTTTAACAGCTCATGTGCCGAAGATTCGTGGCACAATGGAAACCATATTGTATCGAGTCAAGGGCATGTTGGCTTTAAACAACATAGAATCAGCCTGGCATATGGGCAATCTGAGGAACCGTGATGTCCATAATGTTGAATTAAATACTCAGGTACAACACAACTTCCATATACAGCTGAAAATGGGTAGCTGTCATTTTGTTCCTTTTGATTTATGTATTTTTTTCCTTTTCTTTTTTTTTAAACAGGAGAGTAACGAAGATGATGAAGAAGTACCTGAAGAAGATGAAGAAGGAGATGCTGATGTAACTTTGTTGGATTCGGGTAGTGATGATGAGGAAGATCAGCGAGTAAAAGGGAAGAAAAAAAAACGACAGGGCCGAAAGAAGAACCGCTCAAGGAGGTCTGGGTCGGGATCAGAGGATGAAGATGGGGAGGAAGACAGTGAAGAAGATGAAGGGGAAAACACCTCAATTAGTACAGCTTATTAAAAAAAAATTTTTGTTCTTGACCTTGAATTGTGGTTTCTATATTACTAGGCAGTAAACTGAACTGTTAATTTTACGCATTTCATGATGAAATTTTTGCCATTTTGTAAAAGGTGCTATTAAAAAGGATGGATTTTAATTTTTATCAGCTCTTGTTCTTTATTTTCCCTTCAAATTTCCCACTCCTCACCTCGGCCTCTTCTGCCCTTGATTCCATTCTCTCGGCCAGATGACCTTAAGTGAAATGTTAACAACGCAAGCCCCCCCAAGGCTGGTGCCGGTGCCACCCCCGGCCACCCCACACCGTCCTCTCCCCCTACCACTGCAGTCCTGCCTTGCCTAAGAAGGCTCCTCGACGAGAGCCTTGCAAAGCTCATAAGCCCACTGCTGGAGCCGAGTTGAGTCGCACCTGCCGGCCGGTCGCCGGAAACGACCAATCAAAAGGAGAGAAATTTGATTCCCAATGCGGAGCGCTCGCCGAGCGCAGATACTCAGAAACGGCTTCCCGCCGGAGGTAAAATGGTAGCCTTCGTCGGCGCTGGTTGGGTTGCCTACACTGGTCGGCGCCTTGGTGCTTCGTTGCGTGTCCTTCCGACGACGATGACGCATTGCAGGTGCAGACAGGTCACGTGGCGTGGCGTAGCATCTGGCGCCATGCGGGGCATCGCAAAATGGAACGTGCTTCGACGACGCGAGGGCAGTAGGGCAGGCCCTCATCATCCTGTCAGTGTCCACTAGTGTCCACGGGGCGAGAGAGTTGGAGGTGAGAGTGCGGCAGCGCGGCCTGACGCTCGTGCCGATTCGGATCCATCCAAGGCAGGCCAGTATTTGTGGCGGGCATGTCGTGCGGCGCGAGCATTAGGCCACGGGCCGGGACTGCGGGACGGGGCTGCCTCGCTGCTTCGGGCCGCGCCGTGCCGGCCTGGTGCCGGCCGCGCGCTGGAAGTGTGGAACCATGGTGGAACGTGGAACTGGCCTGCAGGAAGGCCCCTCCCTCGGCGGGGCCGTGTCCTTCCCTTCGGCTTCAGCCGGGGACAGTGGCGGATCCAGAGCCGCCTGAGGGGGGGGCGAAGCTGCACTTGCTGCCTACTCACAGAGGCAAAGTGTGGGCTTTTTGCCTACCTCCCGCGCGGCTTAAAGCCAAGGGGGTCAATTGCGTCCCCCAGTGGATCCGCGCCCAGAGATACCGAGGGGATGGCCTGACCCGGCTGGCCTTGTCCCGGCCCCGGCTCGCCCCGGCCTGACACCGTTCTGACTCTGACGACACGCAGGCCGCCGCCACGCCGCCAGCTGGCGCCGGGGGACGAGCTGGAGTCCGGACAGCGCTTCATCGCACCCTCACGGCGCGCCCATGACACCCCTCGAGTGCGAGAGAGACAGAGCGACGGAGACGCCGTTCGGTTCGGAATCAGTGCGCTCGCCGGACCGCGTACAGCGGCACGACGGCCACCCTCGCCTCGCCGATGGAGGCGGAAAGAGCGCGGGAAATTCGCTGACCCGGTTTTGGGTATCGATTCGGGGTCCGAGAGGTTCGATTCGGGGCTCGAGGTTCGCGGCGCCTTGTTCAGGCCATCATTACCGGGATGAGACACAACACGGGCCGCCGGCGCCGCGGACTCGGCGGGTCAGCTACACTGCCAAGTCGCCCACCGACTGGCAGGGCCTTGGCGAAGGGCGAGGCGGTCCGTGAAAAGAAGCAATCAGCGAGCAACTTGCCGCGCCTCGCTCTGTCTCTCTCGCACCCCTACGGTACCCTACGGAAAGCCCCACGGGTGCGAGGGAGACAGAGCGACGGCGGCCGCGTTCGGAACGAGCCTGCTTGCCCCCCACCAGCGCGGCACGGCCGGGTCTCGGGTCTTTGAAACTTCGCGCGGTGCGGCGCGGTGCGCGGGGCTCTGATGGCAGTTTGCTTTCGAGGGTGACGCCGACGCCAATCCCCTAATCTGATTTGGGGATCCGGCGGACCGATTCCGAGGGTCGTTTTCGTCGCTCTGCCCCTCTCGCACCTGCACGGGACGCCCCATGAGTGCGAGGGGGACAGAGCGACGAAAGCGACTCTCTGAATCGGCCTGCTCGCGTATTTGCATTCCCTGCCGATCCGTCGCGGGAATCGGGAATTAGTTGGCAACAATAAAAATGGGCGTTTGCGCTCGTCCCGCGCTGCGTCCTGGTCTCTGCGCCCTGGTCGTGCTTCCCGAGGCTGTTGGCGCCCTGACTGCCCTACAGGCCCTACAGGCCCTGCGCCCCACGGGCCCTACACGTGCTCCGCATAATAAGAGCACGGCAGGGCACGGCAGGGCAGGGCAGGGCGCGCCCCGCGGAGGCCCACAAAAAAAAACAACAAATATTGCCTTTTTAATGGAAGCGACAAACGGCTCGCCCTCCTTGTTCTAAGGGCAAAGTAACGCCGTCACTGCTAACGCGGAAAGTTACAGCGCGTAGCGTCATCTATTAGTGTGGGACATGCAGCGGCGGGAAAAAATTTAAATCGCCTGTCGGGAGAAAAAAAATGGAGTAATGCGAGCAGGAAATTAGCTTCGTCACGTGCGTGCACGACGAGTCGCGACGCCGGCACCGCCTTCGCAGTCTCCTTGTCGTTTTTGCCGTTCGGCATGGGGGGGGGGGGGGCATGGTGTGCTCTGCTAGGCCCTGCCTGTAATGATCGCCGCGAGTGTGTCGTCACGTTTGTGACGTGATCTACAGCCCTCCCGCCCCCTTCCCCTCCTCCCCCGCATCGTTTAATTCTCTGCTCGATTACGCGAGATGCGCGGCCGGCAGACCGATTCCGAGAGTGGTTTCCGTCGCCCTGTCTCTCTCGCACTCGCGAGGCGTCCAGCATAGGTGCGAGAGAGACACTGCAGCCCTCACTCACATCTGGAGCTCAAAACGCGTCCGGGTTTTTGACCGCCTCCAGCCAAGTGTGCGCCGGATCGGGTGGGCAGCGCTGGCAGGGTTAGCCGCCCACGCGCTCCACGCGCCCCGTGATGGTGTGCGTGGCGTGGTGTGGCCGCCGAGGAGAGCTTTAAGGCCAGCGCGTCCTTGACTGTGTCGGCAGAAGGGAGAGAAACGGAGAGAAATGTCCCCGAGATCGTCCTCGACCAGCCCTCTTTTATCGCGAGACACAATAAATGTGAGCCACCCTCCCCTTCCCCTGCCGCGCCGGCCGGTACACACCCCTCCCCCTGTGACGTCGATCGGCTGCCATTGGCCCAATAGCGTGTGCGGCGCGACACGGCGCGTTGGCCTCGAAAAAATGTTGCCCAAAGCGTTGCCGCCGGTGGGCGTCGAACCCGGGCCGCGCTCGTAGTGCTCGCACACGCCACAGGCTGCCGCCGCCGTTGGTCGCTGGCCGCGGCGACGTCGACTGCAAACTGATTCCGAGAGTCTTTTCGTCGCTCTGTCTCCCTCGCACCCATGCGGGACGCCCCGTGAGTGCGAGAGAGACAGAGCGACTCTCGGAATCAGTCGACTGGTTGACTGACAGGCACACGAAGAGCGCCACGGCGCCGACCCGCCGAAACCACCGCCAACTAGCTCGGCGGGGATACACACTGCAAAAATAAAAACACGGAGAACTTCGTTTTTAGCGTTGTATTTTTTTTAAGGGTCGCCGCTGCAGTTTGGTTTAGTCAAGTGACATTTGCAGGGCCCCGTCGCGCGGGCCGCCCTCTGCCGCCCTCACAGGGCTGTGCAGGGCTTGCAGGGGGTGGGGGCGAGCGCATTAAGGGGGGGGGGGATCGCCAAACCGAACTGGTCCTGCAGACCGATTCCGAGAGTCGTTTTCGTCCGTGTGTCTCTCTCGCACCTGTACGGAACGCCCCACGAGTGTGAAAGAGACAGAGCGACGAAAACGGCTCTCGGAATCAGTCTGCAGGACGCCGTGCCAGCCTCTGGCTCCGCGGCGTTGTGCTCTTCGGATCCGCGCTTGCCGAACACAGCCTTCGATTTAAACGGCGGTGACAGTGCACTCCACCTGCTGCAGGCGGCACGGCGGCACGGCGGCACGCCCGGGCGCGGTGACATCGGGGCCGGCTGGCGTTGCAGACTGATGCCCCACGGTGTTTCGTCGCCCCCCCCTCTCCTCTCTCTCTCTCTCTCTCTCTCTCTCTCTCTCTTCCTCTCTCTCTCTCTCTCTCTCTCTCTCTCTCTCTCTCTCTCTCTCCTTCCTTCCTCTCTCTCTCTCTCTCTCTCTCTCTCTCTCTCTCTCTCACCCTCGCACCTACACGGGGCGCCCTCGGAGTGCGAGGGAGAGACGGAGCGGCGGCAGCACCGTTCGGGGGCAGCCTGCTGGCGGCGCCTCTGCCCTGCCTCTGCCCGCCCGGTTCGTTTCCACTTTCCTCGTTTACCCGTTTACCCTCAGCGAGTACTCGGGCAGAGCGAGGCAAAGCGGAGGGGGAGGGGCGACACGTTCCGTGGATCGCAGAGGGGCGTCCATGTTCTCGGTCGAGAGCCGCGCAGCCGGGCCCTTGTCGGGGGAGGGGAGGGGAGGGGAGGGGAAGGGCGTGGCCGCACTGGCCTGCGGGCAGGGTCGTCTCTCGATGCTACTAAGGTCCACTCCACAGGGCCTGTCCTGTGTACAGCCCCCTCCCCCCCCTCTCCCCGCGCCGGCCGAAGGGCACGTGGGAAAGAAGAGGGGGGCGGGGGGTACCGAGCTCGGCGGACAGGGCCAGGGCTGGCCCGGCTGGCCCGGCTGGCCCAGGGCCGCAAGCCGAGAAAGGCGCTTTGGAAGCACCGTTACCGTTTTCGCCCCAACACAATTAGCTCTCGAGGGTCGTCGCGTCGTCGCCATCGAGACTCCGAGCCTGGAATGCAGATAAGGTGCTACGTAGATTAATGCAGATAAAAGGGGGGAGAGTCCTGCAGTCCGGCCGTCTGGGTCGAAAGGTCGGCCTCTTGACACTCTAGGACTGATGCACTCGGCCTGGCCATGGCCTGGCGCGGAATTACACGGCAGATAGCGCAGGTGCGGGCGAGCAGCACAAAAAGGAGTGAGTGCGACACCACCTACGCCAACAACAACAACATCAAGCTCGTCAATGCCGCCGTGTCGTGCTTGCTGCCTGTTGAGGGCCCCGCCGCGGCGCGCCGAGCGTGGAGCAGAGCGTGTTGATGGCGGCGGCTTCTATTATTCAAATCTGTTTCCGA